AACAAAAAAAAAATTGGGAGTTCTCGAAGAAGAACGAAGGGTTTTCTCAACAAAGAGATACTTTTGTAAATTCTACTTATAAACAAAAATAAGAATGAAAAACTACTATTTTTTTTAAATCAAACAAAATGCCAAATGATTGAAAAGAACATTAGTTAAACAATTAACATATTTTTCTTTTGTCCTTACAATTAACATATAAAATTAGTTACAACGAATTTAGAAAAAGAAAGAACATCTGATTTAGTTATTAAGAAATGTTTGGCCCACTAAGGCCATCTCAATCGATTGAAAGCAATTTTTTTTTTGTACTTAACTAAAGTAAAAGAACTTAGACAAGTGGAAATGGGACCTCCACCAAACAATACCTTGAATTACATTTAAAGCGAAGAAAAAGCACAAATACATTTTTTCTTCACCAAGTCGAAATGAAAAAGACACAAACCAAACAAAGGTTTTGTAATTTTCTCTATTATCCTTCTTATCCAAAAGTTAATTCAACATTATTTGGTTGTTACTTTATATTATATAATTGAGGCTTTAACGTATTAAACGACATGACGTAACCTGAACGTCATTAAGACACAAAATTTACATAGTCGATTCCAAAGTATATGAAAAAAAATGAAATTTAATTTATTATTGTTGCTTTGAGTTTGAGTTGTATCGACATTAGTGTTTAATTATGCAATTAATTCAAATTAGGGTTAGTTAATTGAGCTCAATGTTAGTAATACAACTTAATACTTTTTGAGAGCTTCTTTTGTTTCTAAATATAAGATAGATAGAAAGTAATACATCGATAAGTTCAAGGACAACTTAATTTAATTCCAAGTAATAAACTGAACTAATTAGAAGAAAGCGTACACGATCTCGAAGTACCACTTTTTCATCCACGGTCAAATTGGCTCGTATATTTTTCATCCACGATCTCGAAGCCCCTGTTTGTTCTGCATTTTTTACAAATTTGTATGAAAATTGTGACCGTTGCACAGTGAGCCTAACCGACATTTTTGAGAGTTTTGTGTGATGATGGGGCCCATTATTTTGAATAAAACGGTTAGAAATTTTCTACTAGTTGGTTGAAAATGCAGAACAAATGGGGGCTAATTTTATTTCTTAATGTGTTCTATAGAATTATAGAGGAAAATACAAATATTTCCAGTAATGTAGGAGTAGAGTAATTTCTTTCAGAAGTGCCAAAGAAATATTTTTTATTCTTATTAAGAAAAAATATGCCGAAGAAATTATGGGAAAAAAATTATTAAGAAAAAAAAGTTTATTTTATTTTCCAACTCATTGTCTCATCACACTGAAACTATCCCATCGCTCACTCTCTCTCTCTATATATATATATTTCCCTTTATTTGGGTATATACTGTCTGAAAATAATTGTATAAATTCTCTGCAACATATCTCAAAAGCGCCAAAAAGTTAGAAAGAGAAAAAAAAAAAAAAGATAAAAAAAGAAAAAAAAAAAAAAAAAAAAAAAAAAAAAAAATGAAATGTGGGAATGTTTTGCACAATAAACTTCAAACGTAAGAACAGTTTGTGCTAATAATCCGGGTAATTATATCCACACCATAATTTTTATTTTTTATATCACATTTAGCGTGTGTTTGATTCTCATTTTTTCCTCATTATAATGAGAAATATGACTGTCAATTGTCATATTTTTCATTATAATGAGGAAAAAAATTGGGATCAAACGGAGGCTTAAATTGCACTTAAATTCTCAATATTCATTCATTGTAGCAATTATATCCTAATTTTCTTTCGTAGCATTCTTATTCTTAATTTTTGAATAATGTTATCTATGGGCGTTAGAACACCAGTCTATGTGACAGTATGTGATAAGTTGAATTAAACATGAAA